TTTTCCATCCTGTCGTCTTGTACACACTTTGTTTAAAATTGGTTCAATAGCATCAAAAAGGGTGGTTACATAAGATGATTCAGGTTCAGAGCAAATCGGGAGCCGCAAATAGAAGAATTGCGCTTGCTCGCACTAATGAAAAAAAGAAGTCCCACCTGCAATGTGCAGAATAATCAGTTAGACAGTCGTCCAAAGGCGGCTGCCCGATCTGCTCTGAGTAACAGTACATGGCTGAGGGTACATGTAACAGTACATGGCTGAGAAAGGTTCAGCCAACCCCAGGAAATGTTTAATCATTTGAATATTTAAGCCTTCTATGTTTTTATCTTCTTAAACAAGAGCGCCGTGGCATGATTCGCATGACAGCTTTTTTTTTAAGGCGGCATGCGCGCAGTATCCAGTGACGTAGTCATCGATGTGATGTTTTGCAGCAGTGGTAATGTCATCGGTGATCATAACAGATCCTATAAAAGCCGTATTGTCTTGATTGTCTTGTATAAGTCTGTCAGCATCACTGGAATTTTCCGAACGTGAAAATGCTTGCAGTTTCTCCAGCTGGGGAAAACTGTGGGCACATCATCTTCCTTCACGCGTATTTCTGTCACTTATAACTGGAAGTCTTCTTTCAGTTGTCTCGTGAAAGTGATGCTCGCATACTTATTTTGAGTAAAACATGAAAAAAATGAAATGACAGTGGAAACGTCATATTGTGAAAATCACATCTCATCAACTCACTGCTGTTTTGCAACAAAAGTGAAAAAAAAACTAACTCAGAAACTTTCGTTCAGTGAATGACATTCACTTTTGTATACAATCGTATACATAAGAATAGTTCACCAAGTGGTTTCTGTGTACTATGACAAAACCTAAAATCCTAATTATAATTGTTGCTTCTGTTTACTTACCTTCGAATGGCTGCCCCACCATGGTGGTCTATAGTGGCTAAGGTACTCGGCTGCTGACCCGCAGGTCGCGGGTTCGAATCCCGGCGGTGGCGGCTGCATTTCCGATGGAGGCTTTGGAAGTTGTAAAGTATAAGTATTTTTCAAACAACGTCTTCTTGAAAAATTAGAAAGAGCTCTAGAGTTTCTTGAAGGGGACACTGGAAGGTTAGTCAGATGTGGATTCCTGGCGGGGGGGGGGGGGGGATAAGATCTTCAAAGAAGAGGAAGAGAGAGTGAAAAGGTACATATCGCGACCTGAAGTACGCACCAGAGTTGGTAGTCTGTTTGGTCAAGTAGTAAGCTACATCAGGCGATAACTGATAAAGCTGTACCATACTTCCTATATTAGCAGAGCGATTGGAGGGCTCGGTTATTGGAGATCCATTCCTCCGAAGCTTTTTGTAGGAAACAGCACACACTCGTGCTTCTTGCTGAACGTAGCCCGCCCTATTCGTCGGTGTGAAACGCGCTGCGTTCCTATGTGTTAAGACTGGGTTCGTCTGTGCCGACCAAGCACATCTGCCTGGTGGCGATTGTGGGAACATAAATCGAAATCGTACGGAGGTGTCTCCTTGACCTAGATAACCTGGCGTATTATCGGAACGGGCTGGAGCTCGTGGTGTGTCGTTCTGTGCATTATCTACCTTATTTTCTATGTCCTAGGTCTTGGTGTTGTTTTTGCTTTTCGTGCTACGGTCATTGTTCTTCGCGGGATTGCGTCGGATTCCAGGCTGTACTGCGCTGCGTATGTTGAAGAATCGGAAACGGTCATAAAAACATTCAGTGATGGCATCCGGGCCGAAATAAATGATGGTATATATAGGCGGGGGCTGTCTACGTCGTTCAACACTATGCGAGAGACTAGTAAAAAAAAAAAAACAAGGATGGGCTTTCAGTATCGGTCCCGTTTCCCCCCCCCCTACCCCCCCCCCTTTTTTTTTTTGCAGACCGCGAGAAGTGCGTGACGTGTGCAAGACACACTTAAAAAAGCACAGAAACACTATTACGAGAAGGATCGAAAACGGGAAGCCCAACGCTAATTTTCCTCTTTCAACCGTGGCAGTTCATTGCGCATTTTAAGGCATCCTTCTGAATCAGCCCGCTCCACCCTCCGTTATGCGTTGTGTAACTTCCTTAGGCATGAGCGCTTCCAAGGATTCTATGTAGATGTCTTGCACCTACGTCAAGGAAGGAATTCTGGGATACCGCTTCACCATCTTGGGAACGATGGTCAGCGGCAGTGAAAGCATGAAAGCGTTTTTGCGATCGCTCGTAATGGGGCTGTGCGCCATGTTCGGGCGCTCGAACCGCGAGAAGACGAAGAAGGGACGGTAGTCTTCGAACATCACTCTCTTCCGCGCGTCAAGGGTTATTCTCGATCACTGCAACCGTGCGGGAATGCTAATCCCGAAGCGGCGCAGTTTGTGGATGGCACGTCGCGCGGACATCAGCATCGGCCTTGCTGATACCCGAGTTCGCGGCACCCGCTTCATACGAGGTGAGCTGGAAAACCTTTCTTTGATAAATCTAAATGCTGGTACACCACGAAAGAACGGGACGAATTGCATTCCTTTAGTCGGTTACAACCTAAGAATAAATACACTCTCCGCCCACAGTACTGGAGTGCGCGTGTCCTTCACCCATGCAACACAGCGGTGATTGGCGATTAGCGTTAGAACCGTAAGCGTGGCTTCGCTGCTAAGGCGAATATGACTCATATGAAGAGTTAAAGCTTCGTGGTTTCTTGTTAATTAAAATGGTATGTTAGGCTGAGCACTCAAGTTTGAATTTTTGCTGAAATTTGCCCCAAAAGTAAACTTTTTCGACTGAAAACTGTCGAATTGAACACGTGCCTATACGGACAAGTCATAAGACTGAAATACGTGGAAGGTCATGACGTCACCTAAGTAAGCGATTTCAGTTAGCGCGTAGGTGGGACAGTGACCGCTGTTGGCGGAGCTTACATTTATTTTTAGGCTGTAACCGGCCATAGGCGGGCTGTCTAAACTGTGGGATGAGGAGAATCCCGGGTAGGCACTGACTCTTCTGCTTGGATCACGTAGACCATGCGCATCCCGACCAGGTGAAAGCCCAGCGTCTACTAAAAGATCAGGCTGATGCAGTGGCGGCAACAATCGCCACTGCATCACACACAGACCGAAAGACGAACGGACGGATGCATGCACAGACGGACGGACACACAGACAGATAGAAACATGCATGGACGGATGGACAGAAACAGGGACGGACGGATGGGTGGACGCATGGACAGACGAACATACGCTCGGACGGATGAACAGACAGACAGAAGCATGGACGGACGGATGGACAGACAGAGAGACAGAATCACGGACGGACGCATGGACAGACAAGCGGGCAGACAGACGGAAGCACGGACGGATGCACGCCCAAGTAGACAGACAGACAGACAGACAGACAGACAGACAGACAGACAGACAGACAGACGGGCGGGCAGACAGACAGACAGACAGACAGACAGACAGACAGACAGACAGACAGACAGACAGACAGAACAACGGAAGGATGGATGGACGCTTCGCCCACTCATCATCAATCACTCCGTGGAAATGCTGTGAATGTTTTTTTTTTTAAGCGGAGCATTTCCTAGTCGCACCATGTCACTCGTCGTCGGCGTCCACACCCCACTGCCCATGCTCGGCTCCCCTTCCCTCTTCCATCCCCTCTCCCTCCCCCTCCTTCGCTTGACTTCACGCTTTGCTTGACTTGAGTAGATGCGATGGAAGCGACAGATGGCAATAGTACCTTCAACCAGTACTGGCGCACAACCCGACATCATCGCCCCACCACTCGTTCAAGGCAACGTTACCCCATCCTCACCGTCTTCAGCGCCAACAACAGCGAGTATTCTGCCAACATTGTACGTCGACCATGCAATGAACAACGTGTACGGACGTTTGTGAAAATCTGACCTGCTCGTCGGAAACTTCAACGTCGACATACGCAAGGACGATTGGTTGGTCGACTACATGTGCACCCGACACGGGCTGTACTGCGTGTCCAACAACAACGTCGAAAACAGCAGCCAGTCCACCACCATCCACGGCAGTTGCATCGACCTCGTCTTCACCAGTTACGCAATCGCATGACCACTCCTCAAACACCCCTTGACAGTGCAATTTTGCGACCACAAAGCATTCATCCTCTCCGTCCAACACAACGACGGCCCCATGCTTATCAAAGACGCACTTTAACTTTATACTCCTTGACATCGTTTCTCCTTTATTCAATAAATAAGAATAATAAAGATCAAATAACAATTAAGCATCCCCAAACCATACCCAATTACGCAACATTCACGAGATACCCTTTCCACTCTGCGACGCATTTACTCGAGTTCACCCCGTAAAGAAATGCGGGCTACTGTTTTTTTTTTTTTTTTTGCCAATACCGCAATTATTCGCTCTTCAAAAGGCTCCAACGAGCGTAATCGGGAGTGGTAGCAGTCATTCGAAGCGGTAAACACCTGTACCGATTTAACATCAAACGCTGGATCGTGCCACAGTCGGGCTAAAGAGCAAACGAGACGCGAGGCGCGAGTTTTCTTTCCACCATCAAATAATTTCACACGTAAGAACGCCATACGGCAGACCACAGTCTGGTTATCACGGTGTAGCAGACGAATCAACATCCGGGGCTCAAGGACTTTCAGCTCCGGCACCCGTTGCCTTGGTAACGCGTCACTCGCCCTGAGCACGAGAAGTTTGTATTGGAAAAAAAACATCAGAAAGTAAGAAAAAACTACACAAAATATCTGCAATAAATTTTAAGTCACCACTGCCAGCACCGCTAAACAGACTGTCGATGAGCAAGGCACGGCTTCTTGTTTTTTTTTTTAATTGTTTCGCATGGTGGCCACCAGTCGCAGTTTCTGCTTGCCGCGGATTGCGGTGTTTATTGTTCAGTCTTCGCATGAAACGCGCTGAGGCGCCGCGCTTCGCTCAGTGGGCCGTGTTAATTCGTTAGTGTCTGTCAATCGCAGGCTTGGATTGATTGTAACAACTACTTTGCACAGCGATGGACGCCTCTGCGCCTGTTGTCGACGCTCTCTGTGCGGGCGAGCAGCAACCTGAAAGCACCGCTAACGGTGGCGACGAAACGCCGACAAATGCCAAGGTGAGCGTTCGGGATCGGGGTGAAGTCACGGCTGAAAACATTGAGGCTACCGTTGACGACGTTCAACTCGAGCAACAGCATGACGACCGTCAGTCAACAAGTCCCGTGCACTCGTCATCTGAGGACTCTTCTTGTTCGGACGAATCTTCGACTGACGAAGAAGATATCAGTCCCGATGATCTCCTCCGACCCTCGCTATTCATTGACAGTGTTGGCTACGACCGCGACATCAATGTTTCTGGTACTCTTCGAAAGCTTTACCCCGCGTCACTGCGGCGCACTCTTCCTGAGACTGTCGAGTCCGATACCATCTATTACATGACCCGCAAGTTCGTGCGTCACTTCACGACCTTGCACGTGGAACGCGAGTGCGACGCCCACGGCGTCTACGTTTGTGTCGCCTGCAGTTCGGCCCAGCGCACGCTCGCTCAAATTCGGGAAGCTATCGGCAGGGATGGAGAGGGCCGTAGTATAGCACTCAAAAACGCCAATTTCATGAAACTCCTGGTTCACCTGTGCAACCTTGAATCGCCGGACGCGACTCGCATTTGCACCATCAGCTCTCGAGAGATGCGCGCATTCTACGAGTCGGCAGCGTCCTGCAAGATCGTAGGCACCGCGTCTTTGCTGGAGGACGAGCAGAGCGAAAAGTTGTGGAAACGCTTCTTCGGCGCCGCTGCCAGCACTATCAAGAAGATTACCTACACCGTCAAACTCCGGCGAAATCGTCGTACCGATCGCGCCGGATACGATGGCGTCGACGATTTTCTGGAAACGGCGACGAAGCGCGGTAAGCAGGCGCTTGACTCGAACGCTGACCCTCCCACTGAGGCCGACTCGCTGATTATAGCGGATTGCCTGGATGCCCGACACATGATTGTGTACGAGAGCTTGAAGGCCAAGGAAGACGCCGCCGCCATAGACGTTTTAATGGCCCAGTGCAGCCAGCAGTTGCCAAATCGCAAACCCCGACGAGAACCTCCCAACGTTGGCGACATCGTTGGTCTTGTGCTGTCAAGCGAATGTGTCCAAAGGGTGCTCGTTGTCAAAGTGATCGAGGACGTTGCCTCTGTATGGTCCATCGACCACGGGCACTTCCACAACGTTAGCTGGAAAGACTTGATCAACGTCGCGCCCTCGCTGAGGAGCATGCCGCCGACTGTCGCCCTCGCCGTCCTCCAGGATGTGGAAGCCGTGCCTTTCCTGAAGCTCTTGCGAGAGTGCGTGAAGGTGCTCCGAGTGGCGACTAATCACGGCACACATGAGGAAACCTTTCACGCACTCGTAGTGACAAAAGTGGCGGCGTTCGGAATAGCCGACGTCCTATCCGACCTCTTCAGCTTCCCCGACCACGTCACGAGGATGACCGCTGCAGAGTGCCTGATCAAAATTTGCCGCCGGCACAATGGCCGACAGGCCGTCGCCAAGGCTGCCTGCGTCCCAAAGGCCCTCTTACGTCTTGATGACCTTACACGCAGTCATTTCCTGGTCGGTGACGACCACAGCATCGCCATGGTGACGAAAGAAATGCGAGCCTTGCTAAACCTCCTAGAGTCCATGTTCTTTCGCAACGAGCGGCTGCGTCTGGAACTCGCCAAGACGGAGCTGCTCGCGGTGATCGTAAGGGTCCACCAATGCCTGCCTCCGACTTGCACCGTTCTCCGGGACGTTAAGCGTTGCCTCCGCGCCATCTTGGGTGCCCCACAAGGGTACAGTAGTCCACAGTGGCAGCACCAGAGCCAGCACCAGCAGCAACAACGACAGACTGAGTACTGCAACAGCCAGCAGTATAATGGTGGTTCTCGTCAGAACCAAGAGGCACGCTCTGGAGCGTACCGTCGACCCCAGTGCGTGCATGATAGAGAGGCTGCGCCCCCGGCTCAAGTCAAGCTAGTGGCCATCACCCCCGAGAAGCTGAAGGAAATGGCTGCTCTGAGCTGCTATCCAACGAGCGAGGCCCTGCAGTCGGCGAAAGCGGCGGAAGCTGCAAGTCGTCCTCTGCCGACCGAGATTCCCAAGCCGATGGCCAATGTGCCGCCTTCTTCAGCATGCACAGGTGGTGCAGCAGCCCCCACGGCGCCTTGTGGTCGTTTCTACATCCGCAGCACTTTGGTGTCCCTTCGTTCGGACGAGACGCACGAGCTTCGACCTCTGGGTAGCATGAAGCAGGCGTCGGCGCGCACCCTGGCAAACCTGGTTTGCTCGTTCCTGAACACGTGGAAGCCGTGCTCTATCTACTACGGCATCAGCCTGGATGGTTTTGTGCGCGGCGTCATGTTGAACCACGAGGAACGGGACGCCCTGCGACGCGGCATCGACTTCATGGTGGGCAACCTGCGACCGCACCTGACCTCCACGAGCATCGGCGTCGAGTTCGTGCCGGTGTTGCGCCACGCGGCGGACAAGCCGGAAGAGGCGCATCACTACGTGGTCGAAGTGTGGGTACGCGGTGTGCACCCTGTCACGTACACGACTTCGGACGGAGAGTGCTACCTTCGAGAGGGTGACATGTCCTACAGGGCTGGCTCGGACGACGTTCGTGCTTGGATCGTGCGTGTTCAGGAGGAGCACTACCTGCAGGAGAGGAACAGATCCACTCTGAAGGAAGGCGAATCGCCGGCTGCGGGAGATGCGCCCTCGTCCCTGGGATGACGTGGTGGCTTAAACAGCGGCCAGCGCTCATGTGGTTTATGTAGCTTTATTTTAGACGATCTCGTCTAAGTCGATGACCGTGTGTTGTACCTATGCAGCTAAGGTGGTCTTTTGTGCTTTTGTTTGATGTTTATTTTGTCAAGTGTATGCCGTTATAAGATTGGTGTGTAATAAAGACAAAGTTCAAGAGATTGCCTCCCCGATTCTTCATCTCCAATTTTAGAAAGGCTCCTTGCCTTGAACTTGACTTGGTACCACCTTCAATGAAGCACAAACGCGTTTCGAACACGCTGCTGTATACGCTGCCAGGGAAGCACAAACGCGTTTCGAACGCACTGTTTTAAACGCTGCACAGACGCGTTTCAAACGCGCTCCTTTGAGCGCTCCCAAGGCAGCACACGTGTGTTTCGAGCGCGCCGTTTGGAAGGAAGTGGTGAGTCAAGCTCAACTCAATGAGAGTTTCCTAATACAGGGATTATACACGCATCTTCTCGAATACGTTTATGTTGTGGATTTACGTGTCTAGACACAATGTACGTGGTTCTCTGTTCCGAGGGGCTGTTTTCAAACGGTACTTTGTCAGTCTTGAACTGCCTTGCACTTTTTAGGGGTGAAGCTCCTTATGGCGTGGCTTGTGTGTCTCTCGTAGTACGTAACCACCAGTGGCACATACTTGAAATAGGTATAACATTTGACCTCCAAGGTGGTGCCGGTGAGAGATTTTTTCTGTGCGTTGTTTAACAATAAAAAATAGTGCTCAATGTACATGCCAATGGCTGCTAATGGGGAATGAGAGACAGGAGCATTCGGCTTTTAGTCAACTCGCACGCTGCGATCCCCATTAGCAGTCATTGGCATGTACATTGAGCGCCACTATCTGACAAGAAAGGGTTGCTACGTTATACTCGCTGGGTGTAACCTCCTTAGTTGTAGAAAGGTCTAGCGAGCGTTGAGCCGCAGGGCCATGAATACAATGAACTAGTATATACCATGAATGAATTCGAGGTGGTTAAAGGGGGGAAGCAGATACGAAGCGCAAGCCGTAAGAAATTAAAAGCTGAATCCTCCTGTCTCTCATTTCACATTAGCAGCCACTGGCATGTACATTGAGCACTGACAGGAAAAGGTTGCTACGTTATACTCGCTGGGCGTAACCTCCTTGGTTTTAGAAAGGTTTAGCGAGCATTGGGCCGCAGTGCCATGAATACAGTGAACTAGTATATACCATGAACTCAAGGTGGTTGAAGGTGGGAAGTAGAGCCGAAGCGCAAGCCGTAAGAAAGTGTGCATGTGCCACATCTAGTTTAGTCCTTGGAATGTCCACTGAATGGCGGTGCTTCTATATGGGGAATGTATGATAAAAAGATGCGAGATGGTGGGACTTGGAGTGTTGAATAGATGGACGAACGGACACACAGACAGATGCATGGATGGACGCATGAACGGGGGCAGGGGCGGATGCATGAACGAACGCAGGGACGGGCGCACGAACAGACGCATGGACGGTCACACAGACGGACGCATGGACGGACGATTGCTTCGCCCCACTCTCCATCATTCACTCCGTGGATATGCTGCCATTTTTTTTTTTTGCCAATGTCCATACACAGCCAATATCTCTTTAGTGGAACTGCAGATGTACAGTCTGTTTCACACTTATGGGAAATCTCGGATCGCATAAAACGTGTTGCGGCCAACGCTGTACTCGCGTGCCGCTATAGCAGATGACATGGCTAAATACTATGGCCTTGCAAGTGTCTGCGCATGCACTAGCTGAAAACAGCACTTGAATGCAGCGCTGGCCACACCGCGATTCACGTGTTCCGAGATTTACCATATTATAAGTGTTAAACAGACTGTACGCGTCCCATGACTAGCGCAATGGTTCCATAAAATTAACAGGTCGTTTATTAAACGCGAAGCATTTCTTAGCGAACTTCGGCGACATTATCTATCTATCTATCTATCTATCTATCTATCTATCTATCTATCTATCTATCTATCTATCTATCTATCTATCTATCTATCTATCTATCTATCTATCTATCTATCTATCTATCTATCTATCTATCTATCTAGCCACCTACGACTTTTAGCTCTTCGGCTGTTTCGATAATGGTATAGATACCAAACTAGGGTATGGCATAACATGACTGTATGAAGACTAGCCATAACATGAAAATCATGATATGTATGTCATGAATGTCGTGATTTACATTTCTTGGTCCTGCAGCTCTTGCAGTGGCTTCGTTCACATGACGTGGTACAAAACTGGTATGGTATGACATGATTGCATGGCAAACACAAGCGACAGACCCAAACATGAAAATTATGACATGCGTGTCATGTAACACCATGGCTACATGCCATGCTCATCATGCGCTCGCGGCCGTTTCGCTAACGTCACATATACGAAATTTAGTATTACGGTATGTGAATGGATGACGAAGGTATGTGACTGGCGCAAACATGATAATCGTGAGATGCGTGTCATGTAACAACATGACTACATGCCACGCTCATGATGTGCTGGTAGCCGTTTCGCTAGCTTCACTTATACCAAATTTTGAATTACGGGACGTGAATGGTGGACGAAGGTATGATACTGGTGCAAACATGATAAACGCGAGATGCGTGTCATGTAACAACATGGCTAAATGTCACACTCATGATGCTCTCGCTGCCGTTTCGATATCTTCACATGTGCCAAATTTGTTATTACGTGATGCTAGTGGATGACGAAGGTATGTGACTGGTGCAAGTATAATAATCATGAGATGCGTGTCATGTGATAATCATGAGATGCTTGTCATGTGAAAATATGACTTCATGTCACAGTCAAGGCGCCAATACATTTCGACGTGACGCGGTGTGCGTTCTCGCCGGCGTTGCCACGCCAGGCACGGTCCTGATATACTCGCAGGCACGCTCCGCTGCTTTGATGCATGCGCGTTTCAGCGAGTCCGGGCATCCCTCCGTCACGAAAAGAGGGAGACGCATTGTCTGGGCAACGGATCGGCATAGAGTAATGCTACTCTATGGCATGGGAGCGAAATGCAGCATGTTGTTTCGCGCCGGTCGCGTTGTTTCACGGCCGTTTTGCTAGCTCCACATATACTAAATTTGGTATCCCGTGACGTGAATAGATGACTATAGGGTAAACGGCACATCCAAACATGAGAATCATGACACAGAAGTCATGTGCGGCATCATTTACCTCCACTTCGTTTTGTTGTGCTTATTTTAAAGTGGCATATCAACATTTCTCATTCATACTTCGCATATGATCGATTTCCACTGTGCGTGGGATCTGCCAATCTTCTTGTGAGACCACAATATTAATTCAGTCGGTCGATCTCTAGCCCTCAGTGCGTGACAAGCTGAACTATCAAATCCAAGTTGTAAAATGCGCTGCGCAGTCTGAGCTATTATTTTTCCCGTGAACAAAAACACGACAAAGGACTGAACCCGTTGCTTCCGACTGGGTTTTAAATGTAGTTTTTACGCTTCATCAGGACCTATAAGGTTTGTGGCTAACACTCTTGTCAGGTGATCTGCAATGCACATTGCTGATCATGCACATGCACGCCAAAGAGTCGTAGAGTAAGGTTTCGAGGGATCCTGCAACACTTTGAAGTTACACTAAAGTCGAATAACAATTTATGCCAAAGTGAAAGCTGACTATATGATATTGTCGAAAATAAGAGTATTATCAAAGGTAGCGTCTAATTTATTTGTTGTGCATTTTTGCTCGAATAACGGGGAAGTTCCGTGCCCTGACCCACGCTCTTCGAATTGGAGCGATGGCGTCAACCTGGGCGACAGATACCACCAGCGGCGGGTGTAATACTTTCTCCCACCTTCCACCTGCCGAGCCATGACTAAGCACACATAGCCAGGCACGCACAACAAAAGCCGAGAGAGTTTTCTGTCCTGATTTGGCCAGCACCGGTCTGCGTACGTACATGCAGCTGCAGTGCCCCCGTCATGCCTGCGCAAACGGGCTATTGCTTGCAGTCTTATTTACCAAGAAATTAAGATACGTGCGCGAGAACACATGCGCTACGCGTTGGACATTCCCAAAATGACGCCGATAACTTCAGACTTACCGCCTTCAATTATTCACTACTACTCGAACTAGCTGCACAAAAAGAAAAACTTTTCGTGCGTCAGGTGCGACGTAATAAAATGCTGCTTGTTCGTTTCTGTTTGATGCATATAAAAAGGCACCGCCGAAAGTTACTATGGGGAATGGCGTGAGAGGTTCAAAAGTTCAATTCACGCCTGGTTAAACTGGACAGGTCCTGCCATGTAGTGGGGTCCAGTTGAACCAAGCAGGTCTGTCATCTCGGCGGCCATTGCAGCAAATATCTCGATGGCCATTGTTGATGTGGCTCCCGCTGCTTTCGTTCTGCTGCCACTAGTGTCGGGGACGGGCTAGGTTGCGCACGGCAACAGTGACGTGAGACGTTCCGCTTGAGGCGGGTAATTTGAAGTGCGCTAACCCGATGCGGACCACTAAAACGTGCTTTTGTTTCAAAATAAGCACTTCCCTAGCACAAACGTAATGCTACGACGTGTTTGGACCACTATTTCAACAATCAAAGTCGACTTAATAGCTGCATGTAGTGTGCCTTTAAGAGTGGTAAGAAAACGCTTCCGAGAGGTTTTCGAGGCTTCTGAGAACACATGAGCCAAACATGGTAGCGCAGCAAGCGACCTGAAATTGTCGATTGATTCTCAAAATTAGCTAATAAAATAGCTCCATTTTTTCTGTGTTCTACGGCGCCATACACCTGTATTCACGGCCACTAGCTGAATAATAATCCATTGTATGGCCTCCAAGACCAGTGACGCGCAATCTCGGAGGCAATGTCTAAGGTCGCATAGTAACTTCGCCCACCGGGGGAGGACGCCACGTGCTCGTGCGCGTTAGCGGAGGTGCCCACACATCGAGGCACCCTTGTGCGCATTATTGTGCATCGTGATGTACCTCGATAGAATGTGTGCGGAAAAAGTGTGTATCAAGGCACCCTGGTGCACGCATTCGTGATCACTGTGAAGGTGAACCGAGCGTAGTGAACGCAAGCCAAGTGTTTAAAAAAATAAATAAAAACGCTGAAGCTAATGACGCGCATGACAAACTCTTAACCCGTGTGACATCCCTCCTTGCTTGGCTTCCAACACAT